TCCACTTGAATTACCAGTTATTCTCAATCTAATCCTAATCTTACACTAAACATCAAATTGTTGAGAATTAACAAGTTTACCAGACAGTTACTGCAGACAGTAATTTCTCTGCAAAGTACAGATAACCCACTGACTCAAAACTCACTTATAGTAGAAGCCAAAGTAGAAACAAACTATATATTTAAAATAAAGCTTATGGCAGTGATGTTTGCTAGTCATTTGATGCGACTCCAGGTAGAGTCACTTCTTTGAGCTGGAGTCAAGTCTCTGGTCTCTGGGGTGTGAGGGCAAGTCTAGTCCTTAGTAGAGAATTTTAGTTTAGTCTCGCTATTAGGTTTCGGCATTGTATTATACAAAAGCAAACCCCACTTAAATTAAACATAACTTCAAGTAAAGAGCCTTTTATTACAGAAACACCTTCAGTCTGAAGGACAGAACTGAAGCGCTACACTCAGTAAGTGCAGTGTTTAAAGGAAAGATGCAAAAACTTGGTAAATCTTTAGTTTGTATAGCAACTCTGCTAGCTAGCAGAGTAACAGCTAATCCAGCAGCAGTCTTAGTACATTTTAATGGAATGTGATATGTAACTTACTAAAACTTCAGCTAGCATATTTGCTGTCCATTTCAAGTTATTTTGACTCTTTCATTTTAACACAGCTTTTACTGCACATGGCGCTTTGTTCTGTCCATCAGACTGAAGGTTTTTCTATAATGAAAGGCTCATTAAATGAAGTTGTATTGAACCTGATGCAGCTGTGAGCTGTGGGAGAAAGACATGCTGTAATGACTGCTCATGACCATAACAAAGCCGACAGAGTCAGATAAGTAAGGTTGGAAACAAAGGACTTTATTTATTAACCACATTATTGTTGCCGATCTAAATTTTATGCATTTTATTCTTGTTTTTTTTCCTCAGGCTCTGATCACTGATTTGAGTCACAATCTCTGGCTAAAGGCTGTAAAAGATAAGAGATACGGTTTGGGCAAAAGATAACTTACAAGGACAAAGCATGTGTGCATGCATGTGTGAATGTATTCCCACAAAGCCTGTTTCAAAGACTGCTTAACAAAATGCACATTCCAATTCTTAGATTTTCTCCAAAGCCATGCTTGACAATTTTCAGCTATGTAAAACTCCAGGGAGATACAAGGATAAAAAGTGTCCAGTTTAATTGGTTATATAGTTCCAAGATCTTGGAGCTTAAAAAGGAAATTAATATGTCCTTATCCTCACCTAACTCTTAGACCGACGAATGAAATGACTAAGATTTTGATGAAAATGTCAGAAAAGGGAATTGTGAAGATGGTAGTTCACCAAAATGTCTTTATAAGCACAAGTGAAGAAATGTCTCAACCTTCAAAGTGAGGTCCTTTGTACTTTAATGACACCATTCACCATTCATTTAAAATGTGACGGCCCATTAGATTCTGTAACTGCTTTCTGCAGCATAATGCTAGATGCATAATTAAGAGCAGATAGAATTTTCAATTGAGAGTGAATTGTATTTTGTCATTTTCTAGCTGTAAATGTTACTCTCCTGTTGTTTCTGTCCTGAATATGTGGCTCTAGAGCCACCGTACATTTATCAACCTGCACTTTCTTTAGCTTTTTATGGCCGTGAAGTTTTTGGATGCCCCACTTGCTCTGCCGCCGAGTCTGGTTAAATGCCTGCACGCCCCTGTTATTACAGTGGTCATGAACGTGACATGACAACCCTTTAAGGTAGTTTATTCTTTGGGATGTGTGAGCGTGTATGTGTGTATGTGTGTGTGTTTGAAATCAGGAGCTTTTCTCTTGCATTTCTTCTTGTCATCGTCCATTAGGCTTCATAGAAGGTCATAATTGACCTCTCATCTGTGTTACTGTGTGTGTATGTGTGCATACTCTGCAGCTGCACTCTGGGCTGTGCTCAACAGATGGCCCGGCTAATTGATCTGTCATAATGACAGCTTATGGGCCGATTCAACAAGCGTGATGATAACACAGTTTACGCACATGTGTGTGTTCCTTTGTTCCTACAGCTTTTCCCAAACACCATTTCAAATCATCACCATGTGTGAACAAAATCACCAGTGTGGAATTTCTCCATCTGTCTGAACATTAGTGATACCACTGACTTTGCCTTTCAGTCTGGTGCCAAGGCCAGTATCCCGATACCAAAACCAATACTGATGCTTTTCATACTGAGGTCGTTTTTAGTCATAAAAATGGGACTTTGTGATTTCTTCAGTGAGAGCTAATAAATGTAGACATCAATAAAACATTTGGTAGTGTTTGCATTTGTTTTTTATTAACCTGTCAAATATTGTTTATTTGTGTATGTGCCTATTCCTCGACCTATTACTGTGCAGTTGTGCTCCTCAAGAACGAACAGCTGTTTTAAGATTTTACAGGATGAGTAACATAATCCTATCTTAGACTATATGCCTGAATAATACCTGTTTGCTTCCTCTCCTCCTAGTGTCAGCTAGTCATTTTTAACATCACATTTCATTTCATTAAACTGAATATATTAAATTACTACAGAAAATGTACCCTATGTTATTATGACAGGGTCCTGATCTAGTGCTGTAGCCAAAAGTTGATATGTTAGCCCCAAGTTAACTCAATAGCGACATCATGCAAAATGCAAAGATGCAAGTCATGATGCAACATTACAATACAATTAACTGCAATACAGTTTCATACAGTATAATAAGAATAAAACAAAACATTTGCATATGACTGTAAGTATTCTCATCTCCTCGCACTCCTTACTGGTTTAAACCACACCCTCTTTTGGTTTGTTATATGAAAAAAGGTACTGAAAACTGTTACATTAGGGATGGGTGATACCAAAAAAAGAAATATATTTAAATTGCTGGTTAAAGAAAGCACAATATGTTCTTTGTTGTATGTCCATTGGAACATCAATGGTGAAGGAAAAGACAATGAAGAATAAGTCCTTGTTCAGCAAAAAGATGGGACACACCTCAAGGACACACCACCTATCTGGTCAAAGTGTAAATCACTGAGATTTTAATATATGATGAAACTCATCTTTTGAAACCGTTGAAGACTGATTTACATCCCAGTCTTTTTCCTTCTTCCTTTTTTCTTTCTTTTTTCTTTCTTCCTTCCTACCTGCCTCTGATTCACTCACTCACTCATCCATTCAGCCATAATTACACCCATGCTTGACTGTATAGCTTGGAATACATAGTCATTGTGGTGTAAGAGTCATCGGCTGGAATCTCTCTCTCTCTCTCTCTCTCTCTCTCTCTCTTCCCCCCTCTCTCTCTCCCTCTCTCTCTCTCTCTCTCTCTCTCTTTCTCTCTCTCTCTCTCTCTCTCTCTCTCCCTCTCTCTCTCTCTCTCTCTCTCTGATGACGTCCATGCCGCGCCTCATTTGCAGATAATGACAGTTATTGTTACACAGCTGTGGCTTGCAAAAGCTTTGCATATTAGCACTCTTATCCCTCTCTCTGCCTTTCTCTTTCATCTGTCTTTCTCTTTGCCCTCCCTCTCTCTCCACCCTGTGCGGTTGAGGCGAAGGTTTAGCATTATGAGTTTGGAGTGTGCGTCATTGTGTTTGTGTGTGTGTGTGTTTGTCTTCTTCACTCTGAGTGTTTGGTGTTGAGTGTACAGTGATGTGTTTGGACGTATCTGTCGGGTATAAATGTTCTTCTCTGCAGCCAACAGAGGCTTAAATGTGTGATTAAAGAGCTAAATAAAAGCCATTACTGATTTATTTCTCCTGAGGCTGCACATCTCTCTTCATATTCCTCTCTCTCTCTCTCTCTCTCTCTCTCTCTCTCTCTCTCTTTGCGGTGTTTCAGCCACACTCATTGCTAAAAAGTATATTGCCTTGCAATCTCTATAGACAGACACTGGCACTGGCAGTAGAATTACTGAAGAGCTCAGTGACTTTAAATGTGGCACTGTCATAGGATGCCATCTTTGTCACAAGTCAGCTCATGAAATTTCTGCCCTGCCCCAACCAACTGTAAGTGCCATCATTGTAAAATGGAAGCATCTAGGAGCAACAACAACTCATCCACAGAACAGTAGACCATGCAAACTGACAGAGGGCTAGCAAGTACAAGTGTGTAGCATGTCCTCTGGTGCATCACTCGCTGCCAGAGTTCCAGACTGCCTCTGGAACCAACACCAGCACAAGAACTGCACATGTGGAGCTTCATGAAATGGGTTTCCATGGCTGAGCAACTGCACACATGCCTAAGATCACTCTGCACAATGCCAAGCGTCAACTGGCGTGGTGCAAATCCCCAAGTTTGCAGAGTTGTTCGACTTTGGTATTTGTGTGTATCTTCAAAACAATTACCTGCAACTTCAGGATTTCTGGTACTTGTAATTGTATTTTCACTATTTATTTTTGCAAAGCGCAGTTCACCACCATTCTGAGCAGTTAACCAGCAAGATGCAACTGTGATCAATCGCAGCTCCTCTGATGAATGTTACTCACATAAGCTATGAGTTTTAGTGACACTGTGCGATGCAGCGCCGCCTACCCAAACAACACAAAATGCGTTGTAAGGAAAAAATAGTACCCAAAGAAAACAGATTTATGGTTTTGATAGCAGATAAAATGGTGATTTGTAGTGTAGACATAACAACGTCTGGTGTCTATTACTATAATGGTGAACAATTTTGACTCTGTAAATTTCTCTAGAAAGGTGCACTTCACACCAAATTACTCTGAATGATTTTGTTTACATATAAACCATTGAATGATTAAGTCATTTTGCATAACCGGTGGAGTTCCCCTTTAAGTAATTTTAGAAAGTGGCAAGTTCTACTTGAACCTGTTTTAACTACATAAAATATCCATGTTTGTTATCCCAATGTTAGCTTGATCCCTGCTCTCCCCTGCATTGTTTCAAAAGTATAGCAGCAGGTTATAGTTCAACATATAGAGTATTGTTACTGTTAGAATTAACAGTACTTTTTCTGTTTTTCTTTCTATTTCTCTTTCTGTATCTCTCTTTTTTCATTCTCAGAGCAGTAGAGAATGAGCTGGAGGTGGTGTGGGAAGCAGCTGCTAGAGAGAATCAGCACCTGCAGAGCATGGTGATGGGGGTCAGCAGGGCAGACGGATCTCTGAGTCCAGTCACTGTACCTGCTGTTCTGGGATGCTCAGGCCTCTCCCAGGCTTGTACGCTGCGTCCACTGGACAGTCTGGACCAAGCTGACAGGCCGTCCAGCACAGCGCCCCCTCCCTTTACGTCCAGACACAATGGCCTCCCACCTCCTGTCCAGCACAGCCCAGGGTATGAGTCTGACAACCCCTCATCTGATGAGAGCCAAAAGAATGGACTGGACTTCTACTCCTGATGTGGTACACTAGTGAGAGTGCTTTAGTGAGCAGCAGTGTTTTTAAATAGGCAGAAAGTAAACTCTGTACAAGGCCAAAGACTTAGCAGATATGAAGATAATGTTTTTTATGGTAGCCATGATGGATTCTGTTTCATCCTCCATATTCTTTATCTCTCTGGTTTGCTCCCTGAGGCCATAGTGAGCTCTCCAAGTCTGCTTTAAAGGAATGGCTCACCAACACTAATACATTCACAGTAACATAAAATACATTTTGTTTGACATTTTTCATACCCATTACATTCATACCCATGTTTGCTTGGCAGTTATTTAACATTTAGCATCTTCTTCCCTCAAGTACAAAAATAAAAGCCTTGCATGTGATATTTCAAATTGATACAAACTAGAACTTAATTGATATGAAAACAAATGAAATGTAATGTATATCACTACTGATTGTAAGGAGATTAAAATCAAGGGTAACACTTTATTTGTATGCTACTTACATAGGTACTACATAATGCACAAGTTCTGAATAACATATTTATGAAGCGACATTTGAGTATATATGACCAGCCTATGTTAATAACCACAAGATGACTCAAGACGTTCTATTAAGTAAATGGCATTGCACTGACAGAAGGGACTGTAAACTAAAGTGGTAGACAGTTATTCCATTTACAACAATGTTATGAAGCAGCATTCCCCAGTAATAGAGCTTAGAAGGATGGTCTGGCATGGATACTCAAGTATTGTTTTATAAATACATTATTCAATGCTTATGCATGTGTTATGACGTCCTTATGTAGGTAGCCTTCAAATAAAGTGTTACCAAATCCAGATACATACAGTACTGTGCAAAAGTCTGAGACCACCCTTCATTTGTTTAATTTCCAGTCAAAACAGCCATCCAGTAGAAGTTACTCATTTTTGTTTAATAGAACATTATACAGAAGAATAATATATATATATTGTCAGTTCATTTACAGTTCACATTACAGTTCACATTCGATGTTGTTGAGGTCTGGACTCTGGGGTGGACAGTCCATTGTTCTGAGAACACCAGCAGCTTCTTCTTCTTTGTTTATTTCCTTTATTCAGTATCAGCTTCCTGACAGCTACACACCTTTTTAAACTCATTGTTGAGTTGTCTTTTCACAGTGGAAGGATGGACAGAAACACCTGTGGATTTTTTTAGATCCAAAGCAACAGTGGAGCTTGATTTTCTCCTCACCCTCAAAGATCAAGACTTTAAGAGCTGATTACCAGTTGGTGAGAGTTCTGGTGGTCTACCACGTTTGTTAGGAGTCCCATTTTCTCTACATCTGTAATCATTTTTAAACTTCAGTTTAGGAAACTCCTCAACCTTTTGCAGGTTGGCTTATCTTATATCTATTCTCCTACAAAATATCACCTAAAATATATGTTGAATATTTTGTAGTTACTGGCAGTGTTAACTGGAAATTAAATAAATGAAGGATGGTCCTTAGCTTTCGCACAGCACTGTACAGTGTACCTAATAAAGTGGCCAGTGAGTGAATATCAGATAGCTGGACCTGAATGATCCCAATTACCTTGCTACTTTGACAAGGCTGTTGTAATGAAGTGACCTGTTGTGCTAAAGTGCCGTCATCCTTCACCAATTAGCCTTTTATCACTAATGGATCTGTTCTTTTATATTTATTTTTCTTTTACCTTCCCTTTCCTTATTCTGGTGGGTTATCTTTTATCTGATCTTCTCAGAAATGTCTTCTGAACCCCTTATACTTAATGGCTGTTTTGACAGCAAAATTAAGGTGGTCTCTGACTTTTGCACAGTACTGTACGGAATTATATTTTGAAAGACTGATAAAGTTGTATTTTAACTAGTCAGTAAGCAATTATTTGCTTAAATACGAATAACATTAATAAAATAAGCAATGATTTTGTGTGCCATTATGTTTTCTCTTTACCCTTTCCAAACCTCTCCTCATGGCAGCCCAGTATTAATTCTAGTTATCATCCAGTTCCTGGTTTGGCTAATCAGTGCTTCATTAACTTTAATCAGGTATGCTGGTTGTGGAAAACAAGAAATTCTTGATACTTTTTTATTGCATTAATGGTGTATTTATTTTAGTGTTGCATGACATTGTAACAAACAAATACATGCTTATTGTCCAGATACATGTTTTAAACAGTTTGCTTAGGTGGCTAAGACTTCTGCACAGTACTGTACATCCAGTATAATTTTGTGTGGTTAAAACAGACTTTAAAAACTTCAGTTAAACACAGTTCACCCATGATTTGTTGAATATGAATGTCATTTCTTAAACTAAACAAACAGCAGAAAGTCACAGAATCTTAAATAATCTAAATAATATTTTGCCAATACTGATAAATCCATGAAACATCAGTATCGGCTAATATAATCAACCAAGCAGTAATTCAAACTCTTGGCTACATTTGATGTTTATCACTATCATTCATTTTATCATCAGCAGTTCCCACAGACATAGAAACCTACATATGTGTATATGTGTGTGTGTGTGAGAGAGAGAGAGAGAGAGAGAGAGAGAGAGAGAGAGATTTTGTAAAGACCAGCTCTCACAAAGAGACTTTATTTATGCTTATTTCATCCTTTATGAGTATATTAGCTGTCATCTCTTTGTAGACTCATCTCCGTTGTACGTATCACCAGTACTGCACTGTCATTGCCAACTGCTTTTATAAGACTCCACTTGACCTTAATATATATGTAAAATAGGCCAAAAATACGATCAAACAATGGAGCAGTGGAAAAAAATATATTCCACAGCAGCTCAATTGCTTGTGCCCGACACACTGGAGTCCTCCTGCTATCTCTGAATTGCTGGATGAGTAGATTTAGCTTCTGCAGAGTGGTGTCCTTGAGAGAGAGGAGGACAACATTAGACTGCAATGTACTTCTCTCTCCACAGATAAAGTACAGGGGTTCAGATTATTGCGTTAGATCATCTTAATTTAATGATCTCGTCTGAAGGATATGCTAATGTTGTTTTTGCATAAATACATGGAGACAGACTGAGTTCTAAAGTAATTGCCTTGAAGTTTGGCCAAGGTATTTTGTGTCTTAAGGGTCTGTTCTGTGATTTGAATGATAAACAATTTGGGTCCACTGAAATGAGGTTAATGTGTCTCTGATTTTTCCCTTGTTTTGTTAGGTCTCTCTCCCATTCAGATGATTCAGTGTAATTGTCCTGTGTAAATGCACAAGCATTCTCAGGGCTGAATAAACATCTACAATGTTTGTTTAAGTCCAGCTAGATACAAATGAACGCTGCAAGATTTCATTCAGCACTGTAGATTAAAAAAAGTAATAGTTCAGCAAAAAATCAAATGTATACAATTTTCCCGACCCCAGATGTAGTCGGTCAGCCAAGACATGTACTTCAATTTCTTCTTTGCTTCTCTGTAGTTCGCTTTTTTAGTTTTACCTACACGTAAGAAAACCATGTAATATCTATCTTACGTTACGATAGACACAACTTTGGGGATTTTATGATTTTTAAGGAGATATCCTTGCACGTTTTTTTTATAAATCCCTTTTGACACACCTGTTTTGAGTAGTGTTTGTCAGCAGCATTTGCCTCGTAGCTCCAGTGCTAAACTAAAAAAGCTAAATTTTGACACTGTACAAGTCTTGGCTGAAGTGAAAAATTAGATTTTTTACTGAACTGTTTCTATGAATACAACACTTAGTTGTGTCAACAGCCAAAACACACGTTTAGTTTTTCCATTGTAAGACAGAGACTGTTTTGACTATATATATCTGAATATGTATATATTATTTTTGATATATTGAAAGCTGAGACACATATTTATTCCTTCATAAAGCTCTAATAACATAATAAATTATACATGTTCAATAAATACAATAAATTTCAAGTATAAAATATTTCCCTTAAAATTCCCTGTTTTGGATATACACTGAATGTTATGCTGGGCAGTAATATTGAGAACTGAGTAGAATGAATTCAATTAAAGCAGACTCACCTTCACTTATTCACTTGTATTTAATAATTAAATGTTATTAATTATTGTCAAATGCTGAGGCTGAATTCTTATAGTTAGGTGGACAGTGATTTTTTTTATTTGTTACTATACTTTTAGTATTTGAGGTTTTCTCTAGTATTTTATGTGTCAGTATTCTGAAGTGGGAGAAAACTAGATGATCTAAAATATCTGAAAAATGTGAAAAAAAAACCTTTCACATTAAATCAGTCATATTGCAGCACATCTTTTAATTGGCTAATTTGTTTGAAGTTGTTTGTACACAGCAGTTGTAGTTATACAGCCATAACCTTGAACGTTAAAGTTAAAAAACATTCATCTACTTTTTAAAACTCTGTTTTACAAGTCTGCAGCCACACAGGTCACCTTAAATGGACCATATCTTACATTTTTCTTACAATGAGGTCCACTAATGACATTTGTGTGAGTTTATGTGCCTGAAACAGGCGTAATAAATTTTTACATATCTATTTCTCAGCGTCTCTTTATTCTCTAGAATTGAACAGGCTGTCTTTGTTGTTTTGCCTTTAAGGCTGATGTATGTAAATGAGCTCTTTTCTGATTGGCTGGGCTAAACTAATGGAGGCTGAAGGGGAAGATATGGGTAAATGCATAGGGCCTCATTCTCCTACTGTTCGTAAGAAGTTTCTTCTTCAAACCCACTTAAGCAGTTTTCACAAAGATTCTGACACCAATTCACCAGTGTTTTCTTATTTGGGATTTGTTCTTAGGTACGAAGAGAATCTACACACACTCAAGAACACATAGGTGTGAACAATTCTGCGGTTCAAGAACACATCATGAATCTGGCGTACACTTTTTCTTAGGACCTTTCTCAAGAACAAATTTAAGAAAAAAATTACAAATTACAAAAACAGGGAATTCAAAACTGGTTTTGCAGGTTGTTTTGGTAAAACTTTCTATGAATGTCACCTTTGTAAGCATCTATAAACACATTCATAACATGTTATAATGCATTCATAAGACATTATAAACATAGCTATAAATATTTATAAAAATGCACTATACATTATAGCCATGTTTATTATGCATGATGAATTGTTAACATAATACATTATAAGTACTGATCATAACAAATTATAAGAGCTCATAAGTCGTATTTGTCAGCTCTAAGTAAAGTGAAGCATACTGCACTAAAGCCTCCTCCAGTGTTAAGAGTGAGGCTACAAGTATTACTGAAGGATTTACTGAAACAGTAAAACATACACAATAAAGCACATTACAGGCCTCAAATGTCAGATTTTAAACTAGGGCTGCCATCAGTGTTTTACCCAATGTGGGAAAGGTAATGTACACCTCCGTTAGCTTGGTATTTGTTTTTACGCTCTCCAAGCTGGGACTGACTTCTTTGGCACTGACATTATAACATGTTATTAACACTATTTATAATGCATTATATTAACAATTCATAATGTATAATAAACATGGCTATAAAGTGTAATTCAGTGTAATTTTTTCTAAATATTTATAACCATGTTTATAATGCCTTATGAATACATTATAACATGTTATAAATGTTTTTATAAATGCTTACAAATGCGACATTCATAGAAAGTGTTACCGTCATTTTTATATATGGACTCTATAGTTTATTTTGAAACCTGAACAGTGTTTACGCACTACATTAAACCCTTTTTTCAAAAGGTAAGAAGATTCTGTTTTTCATGATATTTTGGCTCTTTTGTAAAGATCATTATATAACGAAATAATGTAACACCTAACTGTTGGCCCTCTCCCCATC